ACCAGCTCAACTTTCTGCCAAATGCTAAAAACATCTCTACTCACAATCTTATCTGAAATTCAGTTATGTCCAAACTGAAATTTTCTCTTTTAAATGCCTTCTTCATTAAGTTTTCCCTATCTTAGGGGTAATAATCTTTGATTTCAAACTAAACTTAAAGGAAAATATGAACTTTGTAACAGAGTAGACTCGCATAGCAAAAAACATGTGCTTGCCTGTCTGCTATCTCCTGTCTGCTATTTGTTGAGGTTATGGTTGATTAAAGACTTCACGTAGATGATATCATTGTCTGATATCATCACATAGAAGGAATCCCTTACTAACAAGGTTAAGAACTGGCAAATAAGCCAAGCATGGTGGTGCACCGCCTTTAATTGCAGCACTCAGGGAGGCAGAGGCAGGTGGATCACAGTAAATTCGAGGCCAGTGTGGTCTACAATGTGAATCTAGGACAGCCAAGGCTACAAAGAGAAATGCTGTCTCAAAAAAAATTGTTTTATGACAAAACCCAGAGGATCTGAAATGGCTCTGATCTGACAGCATCCTCACTGAAAACTAGCTTTCATAGTACCAGAAGGCACCATGCAAGCTGCCAAGTAGCCAACACTCTCACCTAGCTCTGATGCCTATGAACTAAAACAATGACCACCATAGCATGATATCCCTAATGATACAAGAGTGGCATACAAACCTTGGCAGTAATGAAGAGCCACTCTCCAAATGGACTTAAGAGGGAAATTAGTGGGTTCCCTATTAAGGGGAACAGGGACTGTCTGTGACATGAACTCAGTGGCTAGCTCTTTGACTGCCTCACCCACGTAGGGGTGCAGCCTTGCCAGGACACAGAGGAGGACAATGCAGCCAGTCCTGATGAGACCTGATGAGCTAGGGTCAGATGGAAGAGGAGGAGGACTTCTCCTATCCGTGGACTTGGAGAGGGGCATTGGAGGAGATGAGGGAGGAAGGATGGGATTTGGAGGGGTAAAGGGAGGGGACTACAGCTGGGATACAGAGTGAATAAACTGTAATGAATATAAAAAATAAATTATTTAATTTAAAAAAGAGGGAAATTATATCTGGTACTGGAAACCTAGGCAACTACCAGTGAGATTATGGATCACGGATAACGAGGTCATGAATCTTGGAAAACCTACAACCACTTTACTGAACCAACATAATTCCTACTACATTGTAAATATGTATCCTTATATCCACAGATAAGTATAGGTCTCACCCCTCATCAAAGAAATGTCTCCTTGAAACAGGTAACAGACCATTACAGAAAATCACATCTGATCAAAACATACAGAAAAAATGATCATGTAATACCCAGCCTTTACTAATATAGCTACAACACAACTCCTGCACCAAAAGGTTAAGAAATCACAGCCAAAAAAAAAAAAGGGGGTGTGTGTATGTGTGAAAAACACTGTACAAGGCAGAAGAACAGGAAGCTTACTTTGAGATTTTGTTTCCAAGAAATGTCAGAAAAGCTAAACCCATAAAGTTTTATAAACATGGCATCTAAGCATGATCTGAACAAGGACACCACCAATAGACAAGTAACATGGAAGGGGGAAATCTTCACCCCTTAAAAAAGAAATACTGGGAATTAAGGAATGCTGAGAGACAGACAAATAGTCTTCCTCAGAAAAGATCCTCCAAATTCACTATCCAATACCAAGTGAGCATCTTGAAATCATATACATACAAGTAACATTATGGATTGAGCAGATTTGTTTATATGATTAAGTATATGTGTACATGCTCATGTATGTGTATCATATATATGATATATATACAAATACATATGCAAATATATAAATAATAGAAGCTGTGAATCTTTGAGATGGAAATGGTTGGAAAGAGGAAAAATGTAATTGTAATTTTTTAAAGTTTTTTTAAAAAATTTAATCTGGTTTACTAGTGCAGAATTCTATCAGAAATCTGAAATTGCTATTAAAAAAAAAAATCATCCTAAATAACTCCAAGCTAATTCTTAGAGTTAGCTGTTACGACTATTAATTCTTGCTGGTATCTGTTACTCCTTTCATGTACATTAAACTGCAGATAGCTGAAAAAAATAACAGTTTCCTCAGTAGTAACTTTTGGTTGTTTAGATATCCTTTGTGGACAGAAACCAGTTTTGGGTGAGTTGAGTAGGATAAGCCAGCAGGAATCCATAGGTATGCTTGGCATGCCAAAGCTATTCTACACACTTGCTGACATTTCTCATCTTCACTACTCTAAATTTACGGCATAACTGTCAGTAGGGATAATATTTCTTTCTAGTGTCTTATTTCACTTATCTCACAACCTGAAGAAAAAGCTACTGAACAAGAGTTACCAACAGAGTTAATTCCCTTCTAAAAGTTAACATTTTAAATTTCTACTTTAATTACATTGTGATCTGATACAACACAGCAAATTTTCTCCATTTTTTTTTTTTTTTTTTGTTTTTGTTTGCTGAGACTCATATCCTATGACATAATTAAATTTGGAGAAAGTGTCATTGCAGCTGAAAAAAAATCAGTATTTCTGACCTATTCAATGGAATGTATCTGTTACGTCCAGTTGATCTGTACTAGTGGTTTTCCATGTGTGAAAGGTTTCCTGAGCCTTTCACAGGGTCCAATATCAGATATCCTGCATATCAGATACTTACAATTCATAACTAGCAAAATTACATTAGTAACAAAATAAATTTTATGGTTGGGAGTCACAACGTGAACTGCACTAAAAGGTTACAATATTAGGAAGGTTTAGAACCACTGATCTGTGTCATATTTTAGCTGTTTCTTTTAGTTTATAAGACCTGAGGATAGGGTATTTAAGTATCCTACTGTATCCAGACTTATATGGCCTTATGTGTTTATGAAATTAAAATCAATTACATTGTGATCTGGTAAGGCACAGGAAATTATTTCAATTTTGTTTCCAATATTTGGTGCATATTTATAATTGTCCTATCTTAAGTAAGTTGTTTCTAATAATACGTGCTCTCCTTTATTATATCTAATTAGTTTTGGTTGAATTTTATCTGAAATAAGGACAGCTCCACTAGAGTGTTTGCTGTCAAGCCTGATGACCCGAGTTTGATTCCTGGTAGTTTTAGTATTCACACAGCAAAGGAAGTTGTTCTCTGACCTCTACACACATGCCATGGCATAGACACATTTATACACAAATAGGTGTAATTTAAAACTTCTACATAACCCTGTATATATTTTTAAAATGTTAGAGACTAACTGAATAGTGACTGTTATCAATCTCTTTATTCTGCCTTATAATAATCTTATAGTCTTCTGAGTCCTTTTAACTGCTCAACAAAAACATTTCAAAATGCTAAAATTATCTTAGGAATGCACAAATTATTTTAAGTGTTTAAGGCGAGTTCTTGATGTATAGTACAGGCTGGCCTTAAATTTGGGATGTTACTACCTCAGCTTCTGGAGGGTTGTGACTACAGGCATGTACAACTATACCTAAGAAGGAATTACAAATTCTAAAGAGGATCAAAATATTCAGAATTCACAACGGAGATGAAGGATAATCAGGTCTTGGAGGAAAAGATACATTCTAACAATATGAAAATAATCCTTTATTGATATTTGTAGGTGCTATTTTTAAACTATACTTTATTTGGGGTTCCTAAAGCCTCTACCTCCCTTCCAGCCCCCCTAGGTAGGAGAAAAAGTAGGTTAGAACGGAAAGGGGAGATAGACCTCTTTAGACTTGGTTCTGGCTGGTTGGTGTCATCGGGTTCTTTGTGAAAATACCCATCTCAGTCATCAGGATGTTTAGCAATTCAGCAGCAGCAAATGGCAAACTGCAAAAGGCAACAGTGTTAAGAACAAGCAGCCTTCTTTCTTCCCCTTCCATCCTCTCAAAACCCTTCTCTCTCTGGGCTCTTGTATTTATATTATATTCTCCCAGAACCCTCAGAATTCCACTAACTCCAGTTGGCAAATCATGCACCTCTCCAAGTCACGAGACAATTATCAGCTGTAGACAAACTAAAAGCAACTCCATACCCCAGACTTGGGATTAAAACAAAAACCTCCTTACATAACTGAGTTTTTAAAGAAACCAAAACTTCCACTATAGATACTTATTTGAAAAAGAGACATTGTTTAATAATGGCTATGTATGATCATTGGCCCAATTTCAAGATATGGCTATTTTCTTATTACCAAATACTAGATATAACTTCTAGGAAATAAGATCCACGTATTTTATATTTAATAAATCCATTTTCTTAAAAATTTTTGAAGCAAGCATGGTGACCACAATTCAGATTCAGATACCCAGTACTCACATAAAAAGCCAGGAATGGTGGCCTGTACCCGTAACCTCAGCACAGGAGAGGAGGACATGGGTATAGAGACTAGAGAAAACTGGAAGCTTGACTGGTCTGGGTAATATTGCAAACTCAGTGAGAGGACATGCCTCAAAAAAAAAAAAAAAAAAAAAAAAGAGGTAGTGGGGATTTAGCTTAGGGGCAGAGAGCTTGTCTAGCAAGCACAAGGCCCTGGGTTCAGTCCTTGGCTCTGGGGAAAAAAAAAAAAAAAAAAGGGCTAGAAATGTAGCTTAATGGTAGACTGCACGCCTGACATATCATAGGATCAATACAAGCACTGCACTATGCGTGTGTGTGTGTGTGTATGCATGCTTTTTTTTGGGGGGGGGGATGCACGTAATTCTCAAAGATGATACAGTTTTATGCAGTGTCTGCTTTTTCTCAACAAGGCCTAATTAGGATAGGCCTTATTTCTGTCACTTGCTCTCAAAAACCAAAAACACAAAAATTATACTGAAACATGAGATGGTAACAATGGAAGCTACCAAATGGCAATAAAATAAGATCGTTTTGGGGATTTCGGGTTAGACTTCATGAAAAACTTCATAAAACTTCATGAAAAGTTTGGCCTATGGATCAATATATGCTTCATTTTATACATACTGTGCCCCAGAATTACATAAAATGACAACAGTGAAGATCAGGTTGTAAATATTTCTATTTCTCCCATTCACACACAATATTGCATGAAACATTACTAGTTTTCATATGCATCCATAGGATTAATACTCATATGGAGTATAACATGGAAAAGTGCAGAACTAAAGCAATAACTCTAACAAAAAAAGCACACAATTTTTAAGATTTAAAAATATTGCACATAGTAAGGTTGCACAGAAATTACTGGCTGCTTTTACAAAAAGAATGAGGTATTAGTCAATTTCTAGATAAGTGCAAAAGAATAGCTACACATACACACAGAAGGAAAAAAAATTCATACTAAGACCTAGAAAGTCAACAAAGAATTGTTAAAACATGTTTTAAGAAGCTATGATTTTGACCATACAAAATCATTAGCCCAGTACTAAACATAATTTCTTGACAATACTTTTAAGTTTTAAACTTTTTTCAACTTAACTACATGCAATACAACCGTTCCTGTTACACCAATTCTACTGAAGAGGCATCTTTGTGTGATAAATATCAAACCATCACTTTCTAAAGCTTGCAGAGGCAAATAACTATGAACAAACAGTTTCCCTCAATGAGTGACTCAATTAGTTTCATAGACATTTAGTAACCCAAGTCACAGGTGCTACCGGGCATGTGGTTCTAAATTGGCAGAGTTTTCACTGCAAATATTATTCAAATTCACACAATTTAAATCTATAGTAACTTTTAAAGTTTAATTTTTAAGTATATATTTGGCAAACTGAGTTGTTTTGGGGATTTTTTTGTTGTTGTTGTTTTGTCTTTTGGCCAAATAAATGAGCCAAATGATTGGTAAAGGAAATTTTAAAAAGATCTTGCAAATGATCTTCTTTTAAAAGAACTTTTCCTAATCAGAAAAATTAGTAATTAGTCTGTTGTCAAAACAAACAAAAAATTTCAATATATGGAATACTTATAACAAACTGCTTAACATAAGTGAAATCATGCATTTGTCAAAACAGTTCACAGAAACTATTTTTTCATCATAGTGAGGAAGAAATAAACTACGTGGGCTTAGTGGAAACAGAAAAGAACTAGCTATTGTCCTGAACAATCAGTGTATGTGGTAACCATATTTCCTCTTCGTTGAGTGACAGTCCTACAGTGCTTGCTAGATCCATGGAATCTATTTTCAGTCTGAACGGTATGGCGATTGGTGGTTTCAAAGCCACTAAAAGAAAACATTTTCTCCATGTCTTCAAACACATCATCAAACAATCCACCTCCAAAAGAAAACTCCTGGAAATGATGTCTTTGTCTACTGGAACCATCCTGGCGTGTCTGGAAGTGATTTTCAAAATGCCTCTTAGACCGAGTGTTTTGGTTCTGACCAAAAATATTAAACTCTTTAAATAAGTCATCAAAATTGAAGTTAAATGACTGTTCAAAAGGACTTCCATTGCCTCTTTGTCCTTTGCCATCAGTAAAAGCACTGTGTCCAATTGTATCATATTCTTTCCGCTTATTAGCATCTGAGAGCGTTTCATATGCTGAAAGAGATTAATAAAAAAAAACCTTATAGCAACTGAATATAAAATATTCCAAATCATGTATTTGCAAACTTCAAATACATGGTATCACTTATGATATTTCATATCACAATAATATTAAAAATACTAAATCTACAATATATGTTGTAAAAACAAAACAGGAACTTTATTTTATCAACTGTCATATCAGCAGCTAAAAAATGATCTTTCTAGTAATTATTTCTTCAATTAATATACTGAATTTTTTAAAATAAATGCTACCACTACCACAGATGTGGGCAAATTAGTGTGTTCATATTATTTGTGCAAAATGGTATACTGCCAACATTTTTAGAACTGTAAACCAATAAAATGCCCTACAATTCATTTACTTACTCAGGAACCAGGTATCCTAACAACAACAACAAGTAACTGACATCAACCTCTCCCATCCCATAACATCTTTAAGAGCAACAAAATTCTCAGTTATTATTCCCCTTCCTATAAATACCCATGAGACCACAGGAAGAATCATTTCCTTACCTTCTGCAATCTCTCTGAATTTTGCTTCAGCATCAGGGCTCTTATTTTTGTCAGGGTGGTACTTCATGGCTAATTTGTGAAAGGCCTTTTTGATTTGTCGTTCTGAGGCAGATTTTGGCACACCTAATATATCATAGTAGCTTTTTGAGGCCAAGATTAATTCTGTTATCATTAAAATGCAGATTGCAAAGACGAAAACTGACTGGGGAGTAGCCATTTCTAATATCTAAAAAAGAAAGAAAAACATTTTTTTTTTTTAAAAATATCCAAGGAACAAATCTTAAGACTAAAAAAAAAAAAAAATCAAACTTAACAAATCTTTGCTGAAAGAAACAGCAGCATCAAAATGTTATGCACGTAGTATCATATACTTGTGTTATGGTACTGTCAGAATCTCTGAGTCTATTAGCAAGTCTTTTTTGCTTATGTGCTGAAAAGAAAGCTAAATTGACAGTTTCTTAGTAATGCAATATTTCTATTTATGTTAGTAATGAACTGTGATACTAAGAATATTGTGTTGTCTTCATCACCCATGTAGCTTCAGAACATGAACTAGGGAAGAAAATTATTCATTTTCTTTTTCAATTGAAAAAAATTCTCTTTTCTTCTGTGTTTGGCTAGAACATTAGCAGAAAGGCAAAGGTGGAGATGGGAAGATTTTTTTCTCAAATTGGTTAAATCTATTTGCTCTTAAAGAGGTTAAAATGTTTTTATATCTGTAGTTTTCCAAATACTTCAGAAATATCAGTAAATAATGTTTGCTTAAAGCTTACAATTAATATTAAGACTTCTTGCCGGGCCTGGTGGCACATGCTTGTAATTCCAGCACTCTGGGAGACAGAGGCTGTAGGATCTCTGTGAGTTCGAGGCCAGACTGCCCTACAAGGAGAGTCCAGGACAGGTTACACAGAGAAACCCTGTCTCAAAAAACTGAGGGGTGGGGGCGGGAAGACTTCTGTGAAGGCTGGGCTACTACAGAAAGGTAAGAGTTCCCACTTTGGATAAGTTAGGTTATTGGGTTTTCCAAATTTCTCAGCAAGTAAACTGTTTCTCTTTAAAACAAGTTTTCCTTAAGGATTATTGATAATACACAATGACTGGAAATGAAGTTTACCTCTCTGGTGTGCTTTTTTGAATGCTGTACCACATAAGTCCTTAACAACCTCTGATGACATAACAAGGCTGATGAAAAAGGCACTATGCTTGTGGAAACTGCCAACCGTACTCTCCTGTGGCCTATTCTGAGCGTAATTAACAGGTAGATTACTTTTTTCCTGAGAATTAGTCATAGTCACGGGTACCAACGATAAAGTACCACCTCCTGGTCTAAAGAACTCAAGCAGAAGCCGGGTGTAGGGGCTCACGCCTTTATTCCCAGCACTCTGGAAGACCGGGCAAGAGGATCAATTTGAGTTCAAGGCTAGTCTGGTCTAGTGAGCTCCGGGGCAGCCAGGAATACCTTGACTAAAAAATAAATAAAAATAAACGCAAACGGAGTTTGTCCGGTGGACGCCAGAGACTGCTAGTCAAAGGGCAAGTCTACCACTGACAGCAAGGCGCCTCGGTAAGGAATAAGCGAGATTCCACCGCTCCGAGCTGACCCTGGAGTCGGTTTAGTTAGTGGCCTAGCTTCCCCGTCAAACCCACTCTGTTCTAACAATGGAGCGCCTTCCCCGACCCCGCAGTGGGGCGCCGGCTCCGTGCGCTGCTCCGCCGGCCCGGCCTCGGAGAAGCTGACCCCAACCCCGCCGCAAGCACAAGCTGTGACGCAGCCATCTCGGGGTGCATTCGCTTCGCCGCTCTAAGCGGCTGGGCGACCGCAGGCCAAGCCCGCACACCATGCCCGACGCGATTTCCCGCCGCCCAGCCCGGCGCTCACCCGTGCGCCCCGCGGCAGCTCCGCCACACCTCGGCGCCCGGCTCCCTCACCCCGGCCGCTCACGCTCCGACCTCGCCTCCAGCAGCCAACCTGCTACGTCCTGCTCGCTCCTCCCTACTGGCGGGAGTCTGTTGCTGGCGCGACCGCCTCAAGAGACGACCTACACGAAACGTTTCCCCATTGGCTCCCGCCGGCCCACCTGACTTTGGCGCCCTACGCGCACGTGGAAAACTGTTGTTGCCGGTTGACCTGTGCGTCACTTCCGGCACCAACCTTCAGGGGCGGTGAGACGGGCTGAGAAAGCGGAAGTGAATCGACGATTCCCTTGTCCTTCCGGGGAGCCAATCGCCGGCGCGCTTGGGGCATGTAGTCCCGCGTGAAGAGGAGCGCTCACCTGTGCCCCTCACGGGGCGGTTAACCCAGCTTAAGTCCTTACTACTGCGCAGTAAAGACAGGAAGCTGAGCTTTTATTCGTAAGTAGCCACGTGACCTGGACTCAGCCACACCCCTAGGCATTGTCAGTGAGTGGCCTTCTGAGACCAGGCCTGGCTAAGTAATTTGTCAGTTTCTTTGTCCTCAGTTCCCCTAAGGCTTGAACCCACTGTATTTGACGTGCTTTGCGGGCGAGACCGGGCCGGTGTTGGTTTAAAACAGTTTGCGCGGTACTAGAGGCGTGGGGAGGTTGGTTCCAGCACTTTGCCTGCCTCAGCTTCCCTCATTTCAGCCATTAGCTCCGTTTTAAGTACATCTGAACCTTTAAGTGGAGAGGTGAGGTTCCTGTGAGGTTGGTCACACATGTAAAAATGCAACACTGTTTCTTCTGCGAAAACTGAGGTAAAAAATAAAAGCAACTTGAAAACTGCCCGGCTGGAAGTATAACGAGTCCTAATTAAGGACGTTTATACTCCAGTTAATGCAGAGGGCACTATAGATGTTTATCCTGAATAACAGCACAAAATATTTCAGAAACAGTATATACTTAGTTTTATTCAGAAGCCCAAGGCAAGTGTGTCAGATTCCCCAAAGCCAGATTTTCTGAGTTCAAACCCTGCTTCCTTGCATTGTAACTGAAAGACTTTTTGCAAAGTATTTAAGCTGTTAGCGGCTCTTTTCTGTAAGGGTGAACAGATAATGCAATACTTATGTGAAAATCAATATGCTTAAAACATTCCAGTTCCTTTTCTTTCCTCTTTTTTTCACTTAAAATTTATGTTTTTATAAATTACAGTTTATTCACTTTGTATCCCCATGTATCCTTCTCCCTCATCCCCTCCCAATCCCACCTTCCCTCCTTCATCCCCTCCCAATCCCTCCTCCCTCCTTGATCTGCTCCCATGGCCCTCCCCAAGTCACTGATAGGGGATGGTCCTGACCCTAGCCTATCAGGTCTCATCAGGACTGGCTGCATTGTTTTCCTCTTTTATTTAAAAATAATTCTAGATAGAGCTAACCTGATTTTTCAGTTACTTCAAACTTTCTAATTTTGTAAAAACTGATGTACTTTAGTCCTGGTGCTGTTATTCAGTAATGGCTCAGTCAAATAAATGGAAAAAAATTATAAACCCAAATAATTCCCACTGTATGGCATTATTTCCATGATTGGTTTTCTTGAATTCCTTCCACAAAATGCAGAGTGATATCGGAGAAAGAAAAACTTAATTCATGGTTAGTTGAAAGGCCAGTGCCCTATTGGCTGTATTTGAGATTTGGAGTAAAAGATCTTCCAGATTTCTTTGTCAGTGTAGAGGGTATAATTAAATTTTTTGTACTTTAAGCTGGTAAGAATTTAGTCCTTCGCTTGTATGCACTGAGTGTTTAGCTTTGGGCAGGGCATGGCACACATTTATTTATTATTTATTTACGTTTCTGAGACAGGGTTTCTCTGTGTACTCTTGTCTGTCTGGACTAGCTTTGTAGACCAGCCTTGAACTCAAGCAATTCACCTGCCTCTGCCTCTCTGAGTGCCGGGATTAAAGGCTTGCACCTATGGTGCACATTTATAAGCTCTACATTCTGGATGCTGAAGCAAGACAATTGGGAGCTCATACTGGGTGACACAGGAGAGACCATGTCAGCAAAAAGAAAAAAAATAATAGTGTGGCTATCTTACAATCTCAGAGAAATTAAGTCGATAATGAAACAAAAATAGCAAAAACAAGAAAACAAAAAAATAGCCAATGTAAGAAATTATTCAGGAAACAATCTAGATGATTTCTTAAAGAGTATGGTGTCTTAGTTAGGGTTTCTATGGCTGCAACAAAACACCGTGACTAAAAAGCAAGTGGGGAGAAAAAGGTTTTACTTTGCTTACACTTCAACATCCCTGTTCATTGTTGGAGGAAGTCAAGCAGGGCAGGAACTGACGGAGGTTGCTGTTTACTGGCTTGTTTTTCCTGGCTTGCTCAGCCTGCTTTCTTATAGATCATTAGCCTAGGGATAGTACAACCCACAGTGGGCTGGGCTTTCCGCCATTAATCACTAATTAAGAAAATAAGTTACAGTTCAATCTTATGTAGGCATTTCCTCAACTGACGTTCCTTCCTCTCTGATTGACCCTAGCTTATGTAAAGTTGACACACAAAACCAGTCAGTACGGCTCACCCCTTGTCAACTTGATACACAAACATCACTATTAAGCCACAACCCCTCTTTTCTCATTCATCCCCAAATCTCACATTAAAAACATAACTTTAAAATTTCTATAGTCTTTACAAATTCAAGCACATTAAAAATTCAGTCCCTTTAAAATAGCTAATCTCTTTCAAAAATCCAAAATCTTTTAAAATTTAGTCTCTTTAAAAACTGTGGGCTCCAATCAAATACTTTCTTACTTCAAGAGGGAAAAGTCGGGGCACAATCACAATCAAATTAAAGCAAAATCAAACTACAGCCATGCAGTATCTGGGATTCATTCATGATCTGAATTCCTCCAAAGGGCTTGGGTCACTTCTCCAGCTCTGCCCTCTGTACCACACAGCTTCTCTTCGAGGCTCCAGCTGGCTCCACCTCACTGATGCTGCTGTTTGGTCATCCCATGTTACTGGCATCTCCAACAAAATGCTGGGCTCTTCTGCTGAAACTGGGATACACTTTCACCAATGATCTCTCATAGGCTCTCTCCTGTTGCGACTGCCTCGACCAGCAAGGAAGACGCCAACACTGGACTCTTCTCAATGCAGTTTATTCAGGAACCTTGAACAATCTTCTGCCTCGGGAAGCCCAGCCCGCCAATTAAATAGCCTATGGCCAGCCAATCCTGACAAGCTACGTGGGCGCCTGCAGATTAGTCCACAACTGCAGAAGCGAGCCCGATACACATACACAACCAAATAAGGAGTTGTTTACCGAAAGCTTTTGCCTACAAGAGGCGGAAGCCAGCGCCATCTTTAGGGCGCTGCAGAGCTTGGCTCTCCACACTCTCCCTGGTGCCAAGCCTTAACTTCTTTGCATGATTCCTTTAGTCTTGGGTCTTCAACTGCCACTTAAGGCTCCACCTTCACCAATGGTGTCTTCTGGCCTCTCACAGTGCCAAGCCTTACCTGCTATCCATGACCCCTTCAAGTCTTCAAAATCAGTACCATCAGGAAAAAGCAACACTAGCTTGTACCAGGACTATAGGTAAGACAATTTCTTTAAAATTTAAACTGTTCTGAAGCCATTTAATAAACAAAAAATAGTTCATGCATACATACATTGTATTAAAATTAACTAGTGGGTTATGCTTTACTCACTGATCATTTGAAAGACTTAAAATATTTGTCATATTTGAAGAGCATACTGCTTAAAAAACCTAAAGATATATTTAAGTAGAACTTTCTTCCTTGAATAAGTTTGTTTGGCCAGTATACTGATCATGTTCTGCCCAGTTCACAAACCCCAAAAGACCAGGAATAAACAGACTCCGCTGTAAATACATGAGGTCCTTTTTATTGTAAATTACAAGCTGCAGCTTGGGCCCACACACCCCCACCACCGAAGCGGTGGGAGCTGAGCATGCTGTATCCAGGTTAGTTGGGTGATATATAGATTCTGGTCCCTCCCAGCATGCCCAAGGCAGGGGTAATTCCTGCCTGGCAAGCATCTATTGGTCAAAATGCTACATTTTGAATTGATTGGCTATAGGAAGGTCCCCAGACCATAATGACAGGTATCCCTCCCTAGGGGGACGGGCCAGTTTCCTAGCAACTGTTATCTCTAGTGGGTGGGGAAAGAATGCAGTAAGGCGGTCCTTCCCTTCAGGGCATTACTAGACTTCTCCACCCACATAGTTCAGGCCTTACCCCAGATGCCCCTCAACTGAAGAATGGATGCAGAAATTGTGGTACATCTATACAATGGAATATTACTCAGCAATGAAAAATAAGGAAATCATGAAATTTGCAGGTAAATGGTGGGACCTGGAAAGGATCATCCTGAGTGAGTTGTCCCAGAAGCAAAAAGACACACACGGTATATACTCGCTCATATAGACATACAACGTAGGACAAACCCACTAAAATCTATGCATCTAAAGAAACCAAGCAAGAGAGAGCACCCTAACTAAAATGTCCCCCCCCCCCCCCGAAAGGCAAAGAGGATGGACATCAGAAGAAGAAAACAGGAAACAACCTAGAAACCTGCTACAGAGGGCCTCTGAAAGCCAGAAGAAGAAAACAGGAAACAAACTAGGAACCTACCACAGAGGGCCTCTGAAAGCCTCTGCCCTTCAGACTATCAAAGCAGATGCTGAGCCTGATGGCCAACTGTCGGGCACGGGCAGAGTGAATGGAATTTTATGTAAGAAGTGGGAAATAGTAAGAGCTGGAGAGGACAGGAACTCCACAAGGAGAGCAACAGAACAAGAAAATTTGAACAGAGGGAACTTCCCAGAGACTCATACTCCAACCAAGGACTATTCGTGGAGATAACCCAGAACCCCTGCACAGATGTAGCCCATGGCAGGTCAGTGTCCAAGTGGGTTCCATAGTAATGGGAAGAGGGACTGCCTCTGACATAATCTGATTGGCCTGCTCTTTGATCACCTTCCCCTGAGGGGGGGAGCAACCCTACCAGGCCACAGAAGAGGACAATGCAGCCACTTTTGAGGAGAACTGATAGACTAAGATCAGAAAGGAGAGGAGAACCTCCCCT